CACTCACTCACTCACTCACACTCTCACTCACACTCACTCACTCACTCACTCACTCACACTCTCACTCACACTCACTCACTCACTCACTCACTCACACTCTCACTCACACTCACTCACTCACTCACTCACTCACACTCTCACTCACACTCACTCACTCACTCACTCACTCACACTCTCACTCACACTCACTCACTCACTCACTCACGGTCACACACACTCACTCACACACACACACACACACACACTCACTCACACACACCCACACACACTCACTCACTCACTCACACTCACACTCACACACACACACGCATTACACGACTGCGACGAGTGTGTGCTCAGATGACACTGTGTGTGTGTTTCAGAAAACTACGAGCGTTTAGAGGCTGATAAGAAGAAGCAGGTTCATAAGAAGAGACGGTTTGAAGGGCCGAGCATCCGCTATCATTCAGTGCTGATGCCGCTCATCCCAGACGCACACATGAAGGAGGAGAACGTGGATGTGGAAGGGTAAATTTATACATAATTAACTGTAACTCATAATAATTATGCTAAACTGCTATTACTGTAAAACAGAAGCTTGTTCCTGGAAAGCTGCTGAAAGAAGAATAGAGTTAAGGTCTGTTAATATTATTATGCGGTCACTTCACTAAAAGATGCAAACGTGTTACTACTATTAATTTGGTATAAACTAATATAATAATAAAGGGATTCATAGAGGTTTAGCTGAAATATTTACCTGAATATTGTATTTCCTGAGATTTTAAGTCAATAATATTTAGCATTATCGCATATTCACGGTTCTCTGATGTTGGTTAATGGTCACATGACATGCAGCTAAACAGATAAAATATTTAATCTTTTTATAGTGAGTGTTTAATTATGTTTTTTGCTTTAGTTAATAATGAGCTTTTTCAACTCTTAACTAAGAACCTAAATGGAACCTAAAGTTTGCATGTTTTAATGTCCACATGTTCTTTTTCAAGAAATGATTGTAGCATTTCTATCATAAAGAAATGGCCAAATATTAAAGATTGAGCAGACTTTTGAAGTAAATGTTGTTTAGTCGATATTAAATATGGATTACGTCGTGCTGTAAAGTCTAAAAACGATCAGGCCGCTGGCGCCCTCTGCAGGCGTTTGATTTAATATAGTGCATGTTGCAATAATATTGTTTTATTACATATACGTATTTGTTTTTTACGAATTATTATTGCCTCACTGCTATTATATATAGATTAAGTCATTTTCAAGTCTATTGTTCGCTTGGGTTCATTTTTATTACAAAAAAAAATTGCCGATTAATCGTCAGAATAATTGACCGATTTCTCGATGACCAAAATAATCATTAGCTTCATATGAGCAAGATGCATGATGGTAAGACTTTCTCATCTCCTGTTATAGGCTGGATCAGGACACGCCCCAAGCCACACCCACTTCTTCATCCTCCACTCAGGGGGCGGGGTCTCTGTGCTCTCGCACATACATCACCTTCAGCGACGATGAGGCGTTTAGCTCCGCCTTCCCGCCGTCGGCTCGCTCTAGCCCCGCCCAACCTGTTCAGGAGGTGTGTCCTGTTACCCATAAACCCGCTCTGTATCGCGACCCCGTGACGGACATCCCCTACGCCAATGCCCGAGCCTTCCGGATCATCCGCGAGGCTTACCAGAAATACATCGCGGCGCACGGTTTTCCCAACGCTTCTGGAAGCTTCAGCGGCAACAGCGACGTCAGTGATTCGCCGGCAGCGACCGCCAAGAGCACACGACCGAAAGCCGTCGTCAAACACACCGTAGTCACCACCTAGATGCACCTTAACGACTGCTTTTGAGTGTTTAGTTCCACCTGAGCGCCTCGGATCCGCTGATGGAGGACTGATTCAGCTTTTGATTTATGATCACATCACCAGCACCGGCTCTGTTCATTTTCTGATTTCTCCTTTTGTATTTTCCAGGGTTTTAGTCCAAAAATGGCAATAAAGAACTCAAGAGTGATTACCTCTTTTTTTTTTTTTCCCCTAGTATGATCCTCTGGATCCTCCAGTGGATGCTCTGCAGTGAATGGGTGCCGTCAGAATGAGTCCAAACAGCTGATAAAAACATCACAATAATCCACAGCACTCCAGTCCATCAGTTAACATCTGGAGAAGACAAAAGCTGAAACTAATCCAGCATTAAGACGTTTTTAACTAAAATACATTGAGTCTATAATCCATAATAACTCTTCCTCCAGTGAAAAAGTGTTCTGGTGTGAATCAGGAGAGAAATCTGCACAGATCAAGCAGCGTTTAAACAGCTCTAAACACATATGTGGCTGGTTTTGATGCGAGAGACAACAGCAGATGCACTTTTTCATCCAGAGAAGAGTTATTATGGACTATGTATTTTAGTTAAAAACGTCTTAATGCTGGATTAGTTTCATCTTTTGTCTTCTCCAGATGTTCACTGATGGACTGGAGTGCTGTGGATTACTGTGATGTTTTTATCAGCTGTTTGGACTCTCATTCTGACGGCACCCATTCACTTGCTGAGACACTGATGCAATGCTACATTTCTCCAATCATGGCGAGACGTCGTCCCCAGGGCGGCTGGTGCAAAAAAGATAATCCAGATCATATCAAAAGATCACAGAGATGAAGAATAGGCTTCTGAAGATGTGCGAAACACAATAAAATTGTACTTTATTATTAAAACTTTATTCAGGTCAGACGCTTCAGTCTCGTTTTCCAACTGTTGCTTTTCAGCAAAATACACCGAAACATGAAAACAGTAATTGTTTTACTGGTAAACACTGTGGAACTGTGCATAAAATCCAGTGTTGTGTAAGCTCTCTGTGTTAATATTTATGGGTCAAATGAATGTTAATATGCAAAAACTCAATCGGATTAATTTTCTTTATGCACAACAATTTTTTTAAAGAGATAGTACACCCAAAAATGATCATTCTGTCACCATTTATTTGTTCCAAAACTGACTGGAACACTAAATGTATTTTATTGGACCCCATTTACTTCCTCGAGTTCCCAGCTAATAAAAATATTAACGTTTTGCCAACTAAATGTTTTGTATGTCACGCCATAACTTTGAGTGAATGTTCCGTTAACGTCACGGGAAGAATGTTAGTTCATAATTTTGAGAGAACCTTCTGAGAACGTTGTCGTTCAATGACATGAGGTCAGTAAACAATGACAGAATGCTGATTTTTTTTTTTTTTGGGTGGACTGTCTCATGGAAGTATGAGCTGCACGTGTTTAGTGAGACTCTCCCGATCAGACATGAGAGATGCGTTCAGACCCGAGTGCCTCTCTGCTTCCCTGAGCTCAGTGTCTCTGTGAGCAGCACAGGTCCAGAAGCTCTGAAGTCCAGTCTTTCAGTCCAGCTCTGTGTTCAGAGCTTGCCCTCCTCGATCATGCGGTTCAGGCCGCTGCAGATCTTGCCGAGCTTGGGCCACAGCGTGCCCTGCGGGTCGTACAGGTGCGTGAGCAGCTCCGGGTCCGAGTAATGGTTGAACACGTGTCTGATGCGGTCCAGAGACTTGGGCGTCAGGTGCTTCTCCACCAGCTTCAGCAGTAAGTCTCGACACTCGGCCAGCAGCTCCATCATCACGCTCTTATCAAAGGTGAACTCCACCTGACGCACAGACACGCACGCTCCTTATTACACATTCATGCATACAGACACTTTTATCCAGAGAGGCTCAAAAATGAGGAACACATTTTTAAAACTTGATTTGTAAATTTATGCACGTATTGCAAAGTTCTCAGACATGTCCCCCCTGATAGCACACACAGGCTACATCACGGAGACGTCTATTTGACGTCTGCATTACATCTGCAAGACGTATTTTTTTTAGAGCGTTTGCTCATCTGCTATACATCTCCTATCAGATGTCAAAAAGACGTTTAGAAGATGTATTTAAGATGTTTATGATTTAGAATGCATGTAAAACTGACATCTTGGAGACGTCTATCAGATGTTTGTACACAGCTGATGCTTTCCAGATGAAGCGATGTTTAACAGACGTCCTGCAGACGTACCTGTGCTGTCTGGCCTTATGCTCAACTCTTGAGATTAGAGCATCAGCAGAAAAAAGTACAAGCTGAGGGACGTGAGAGAGATGGACGTTTATCGCAGATGCATGCATGCGGTTATTTATTTTGAAATCAACATTTTTATATGTTCTGATGAAAACCTGGGTGGTGTGTTGCTATCTCTATCTGTCTTCTGAGTGGTTTTTAGCATGCTAATGTACTCTGAAAGCTTTTTAAGAACATTATTATTCGGTATTGCTTACATTTGCACATTTTCTGAAGAAAATAAGTGTTCCTGTCCGAGCCAAAAGTCACTAGCTTCTTCTGGTTGTTTGCTGTGTGGTTGCTAGGGCTAAATATTTGCAGTGCAGTTGCTAAGGTATCCAAAGTAGTTGCTAGGGTGTTTTAGGTACTTTCTATGTGATTGCTAGGGTCTTTTGGTTGGTTGCTATGTGGTTGCTAGGGCTAAATAGTTGCAGTGCAGTTGCTAAGGTATCCTAAGTAGTTGCTATGCAGTTGCTAGGGTGTTTTAGGTAGTTTTTTGTGATTGCTAGGGTCTTTTGAGAGGTTGCTATGTGGTTGTTAGGGCATTCTAAATTTTTGCTATGCAGTTGCTAGGGTGTTGTATGTAGTTGCTTTGCAGTTTCTGTGGTATCCTGAATAGTTGGTAATTTGGTTGCTAGGGTGTCCTAAGTAGTTGCTTTGCGGTTGCTAGGGTGGTCGAAGTAGTTGTTATGCAGTTGCTAGGGTACTCTGAGTGGTTTCTGGGGTGTTCTGAGTAGTTGTTATGCGGTTGCTACTTAGAACACACAGTTGCTAGGGTGCTCTGGGTGGTTACTATGCAGTTGCTAGGGTGTTCTGTAGAGTTGCTATGCCGTCTCTAGGGTGTTCTAAGTAGTTTCTGTGCAGTTTCTAGGGTGTTCTAAGTAATTGCTATGCCGTTTTTGTGGTGTGCTGAGTAATTGCTATGCTGTTTGTAGGGTGTTCTTGGTAGTTGCTAAGTTTCCTAAGTAGCTGATCTGCAGTTGCTAGGGTACTCTGAGTGGTTTCTGGTGTGTTCCGAGTAGTTGTTTTGTGGTTCCTATATAGAACCCACAGTTGCTAGGGTGTTCTGGGTGGTTACTATGTGGTTGCTAATGTGTTCTAAGTAGTTGCTATGCATTTACATTTAGTAATTCAGCAGACGCGGTTGCTAGTGTGCTCTGTGTGATTGCTATGGTGTTCTAAGTATTTGCTATGCTGTTTCTGGGGTGTTCTGAGTAGTTGTTATGCGGTTTCTACTTAGAACACACAGTTGCTAGGGTGCTCTGGGTGGTTACTATGTGGTTGCTAGGGTGTTCTAAGTAGTTGCTATGCTGTTTCTGGGGTGTTCTGAGTAGTTGTTATGCGGTTTCTACTTAGAACACACAGTTGCTAGGGTGCTCTGGGTGGTTACTATGTGGTTGCTAGGGTGTTCTAAGTAGTTGCTATGCTGTTTCTGGGGTGTTCTGAGTAGTTGTTATGCGGTTTCTACTTAGAACACACAGTTGCTAGGGTGCTCTGGGTGGTTACTATGTGGTTGCTAGGGTGTTCTAAGTAGTTGCTATGCTGTTTCTGGGGTGTTCTGAGTAGTTGTTATGCGGTTTCTACTTAGAACACACAGTTGCTAGGGTGCTCTGGGTGGTAACTATGTGGTTGCTAGGGTGTTCTAAGTAGTTGCTATGCGGTTGCTAGTGTGCTCTGTGTGGTTGCTATGGTGTTCTAAGTAGTTGCTATGCATTTTCTGGGGTGTTCTGAGTAGTTGCTATGCGGTTGCTACTTAGAACACACAGTTGCTAGGGTGCTCTGGGTGGTAACTATGTGGTTGCTAGGGTGTTCTAAGTAGTTGCTATGCGGTTGCTAGTGTGCTCTGTGTGGTTGCTATGGTGTTCTAAGTAGTTGCTATGCAGTTTCTGGGGTGTTCTGAGTAGTTGCTATGTGGCCGCTAGGTTACTCTGGATGGTTTCTAAGTGGTTTCTTCCTGGCTGGTGTGAAATGACACCAAAAACGCTGTAAGATGACGCACACACTGAACTTTAAGACTCTCAGCTGTAGTACTGCTGATGATTAATCATAACACACCATTAGCATGTAAATATGACTGATGAATGCGAGTGTTTGTACCTCCTGGAAGCTGATGGCCGTCATGGCTCCTTGGTGGAGTTTTTTCCTGAAGTCCTGCGCCACACTCAGCTCGTCTGCGCTGAACTTTTCGTGTCTGAACAGAACCCCCACCTTCACGGCGATCTTGATCATGTTCTTCACCACCTTCTGGGCCTCGTTGCGGTTCCCCGTGTGCTCCTTGGAGACGCGGTACAGCTCGTCCAGAACCTCGCTGCTGTTGTCATCGATGAACATATGAGCCACTGACTTACTGGCCATGTGACTGAGGATCTTCTTCTGGGCCTTCATGGCCATGTCCTTTGAGCTGAACGCCTCCATCCTGATGACAGGAGAGCACGGACGGACACAGACGTACAGCCGTGTGCGAGTGTGTTTACCTGCGTCGTGCAGTCGGAGGTGTTTGCGAGGAGCGTGTTATGTCTTTTTGAGGAAGTGGCGTCTTCCGCTGTGTAACTGCGAGAGGAAACGGTGTGATCGGAGGAGATATGCCACTTCTGCTTTCTATCTCACTCACACACTTCAACTCTTGAGTTTCAGACTCAAATCTCCCTCTCCAGAGACGTTTCATATCATTCAGGGCATTGACAGTGTGAGAATAAGAACACAAACTAACCTGAAAATAGTACGTCTAAGCTTCACGTCATCTTCAAACATAAGGTGTGAAAAATCAACCGTGAGATTAAATGGAAAGCTTCCATAGTTTGTAATCAAAAGTCAAAACTCAAGTTTCTCTCTAGATCACATGATCTGATCAGTCTGTATCTCAATCATTCTTCCTGATTCACATTTAACAAATAAACGGAACTGAATTCAGATTGAAATTATCTGGAATGTGGTTTGTTCAGTTCAATGAAAAGATGTTAGGGTGTTGTAATTAGTTGCTATGCGGTTGCTGGGGTGCTCGGAGTAGTTGCTGGGGGGTTATAAGTAGTTGCTAACCGGTTGCTGGGGTGTTTTCTAAGTAGTTGCTATGCGGTTGCTGGGGTGTTCTAAGTAGTTGCTATGCGGTTGCTGAGGTGTTCTAAGTAGATGCTATGCGGTTGCTGGGGTGTTCTAAGTAGTTGCTATGCGGTTGCTGAGGTGTTCTAAGTAGATGCTATGCGGTTGCTGGGGTGTTCTAAGTAGTTGCTATGCGGTTGCTGAGGTGTTCTAAGTAGATGCTATGCGGTTGCTGGGGTGTTCTAAGTAGTTGCTATGCGGTTGCTGAGGTGTTCTAAGTAGATGCTATGCGGTTGCTGGGGTGTTCTAAGTAGTTGCTATGCGGTTGCTGAGGTGTTCTAAGTAGATGCTATGCGGTTGCTGGGGTGTTCTAAGTAGTTGCTATGCGGTTGCTGAGGTGTTCTAAGTAGATGCTATGCGGTTGCTGGGGTGTTCTAAGTAGTTGCTATGCGGTTGCTGAGGTGTTCTAAGTAGATGCTATGCGGTTGCTGGGGTGTTCTAAGTAGTTGCTATGCGGTTGCTGAGGTGTTCTAAGTAGATGCTATGCGGTTGCTGGGGTGTTCTAAGTAGTTGCTATGCGGTTGCTGAGGTGTTCTAAGTAGATGCTATGCGGTTGCTGGGGTGTTCTAAGTAGTTGCTATGCGGTTGCTGAGGTGTTCTAAGTAGATGCTATGCGGTTGCTGGGGTGTTCTAAGTAGTTGCTATGCGGTTGCTGAGGTGTTCTAAGTAGATGCTATGCGGTTGCTGGGGTGTTCTAAGTAGTTGCTATGCGGTTGCTGAGGTGTTCTAAGTAGATGCTATGCGGTTGCTGGGGTGTTCTAAGTAGTTGCTATGCGGTTGCTGAGGTGTTCTAAGTAGATGCTATGCGGTTGCTGGGGTGTTCTAAGTAGTTGCTATGCGGTTGCTGAGGTGTTCTAAGTAGATGCTATGCGGTTGCTGGGGTGTTCTAAGTAGTTGCTATGCGGTTGCTGAGGTGTTCTAAGTAGATGCTATGCGGTTGCTGGGGTGTTCTAAGTAGTTGCTATGCGGTTGCTGAGGTGTTCTAAGTAGATGCTATGCGGTTGCTGGGGTGTTCTAAGTAGTTGCTATGCGGTTGCTGAGGTGTTCTAAGTAGATGCTATGCGGTTGCTGGGGTGTTCTAAGTAGTTGCTATGCGGTTGCTGAGGTGTTCTAAGTAGATGCTATGCGGTTGCTGGGGTGTTCTAAGTAGTTGCTATGCGGTTGCTGAGGTGTTCTAAGTAGATGCTATGCGGTTGCTGGGGTGTTCTAAGTAGTTGCTATGCGGTTGCTGAGGTGTTCTAAGTAGATGCTATGCGGTTGCTGGGGTGTTCTAAGTAGTTGCTATGCGGTTGCTGAGGTGTTCTAAGTAGATGCTATGCGGTTGCTGGGGTGTTCTAAGTAGTTGCTATGCGGTTGCTGAGGTGTTCTAAGTAGATGCTATGCGGTTGCTGGGGTGTTCTAAGTAGTTGCTATGCGGTTGCTGAGGTGTTCTAAGTAGATGCTATGCGGTTGCTGGGGTGTTCTAAGTAGTTGCTATGCGGTTGCTGAGGTGTTCTAAGTAGATGCTATGCGGTTGCTGGGTGTTCTGAGTAGTTGCTATGCAGTTGCTGGGTGTTCTAAGTAGTTGCTATGTGGTTGCTGGGGTGGTCTAAGTAGTTGCTATGAGGTTGCTGAGGTGTTCTAAGTAGTTGCTATGCGGTTGCTGGGGTGGTCTAAGTAGTTGCTATGCGGTTGCTGGGGTGTTCTGAGTAGTTGCTATGCGGTTGCTGGGTGTTCTGAGTAGATGCTATGCAGTTGCTGGGGTGTTCTGAAAATGAAACAACAAAGGTACACACAGGAAAAAAAGGTACAAAAGCTATCACTGGGGTGGTACCTTTTCGAATATGTACACTTTAGGTACTAATATGTACCTTTACAATATGGACTCTTTTGGTACAGAGCACGCCCCAGTGACAGCTTTTGTACCTTTTTTTCTGAGAGTGTATCAGCAGAAACACACATACCTGCTGAATCATCTTACCTGTTGTTGCTGAGTGAGAGTGTTTAGCTGTGATGTGTGTGAGTTTGTCGTAGAGTGCGTCTGTCAGTACTTGACATGCTGAGTTTACATCCGTTTCCACAAAGAACTCTCTCTCACACAGGAACAGGACGACACAATCAGTCAATGTAATATTGCATCGTGAGTCTTGCACTATTCAGTCTCACACACAGTGCTCACTTTGGCTGTTGTCTGTGTTTATAATCTGTGTTTATTAGGATCGTGTGTCATTCAGGTTGCCTTTAAAAGTCCAATACAGGAAACAGGATGCAATATTATATTTCAGATTGGAACTGAAGAAAGTAGAATTAAAATGCATCTGCTGTAAAAGCATATCAGTATGAAAGTGTGAATTGCATGTTCCAGAAACATTAATTTTAATCACCGATGATTGAAATGTCTGCTATAGGTGTTTATGTAATTTTAATTATATTTAAAGTAACTTTAATTTTATGTTCCTGGGTAGAAGAACACTTCAGTTTCCAGACGAATGAAATTAATCTGTTGTGTGAATTTCTTTGAATTGCAAGTCAGTGATTTTTCTTCCTGTTGGTGTGTTGTGACGATGCATACTCGCATACATGAATTGAAAAGCACTCCGTTGTTAAATTCTCAATAGTTGTTGTGTATTGTCCTGTATTTATGGTTGCATTGTTCTAAAAAGTGTTTCTGAATGTTGCACCAGCAACATTTCAACATTTAGTGTTTCTCACCGCACCGCAGAGAAGACTGACAAATGAAACCTGCCTTAAAACTGCCTGAACCCATGTGTGAAACACACCGATCACAACAGTGCCAGTCACAGTCACCAGCAGGAAGTGCAGGTGTAAAGAGCTGGCTGAAGACTTCCTGTCTGACATGGGCGACGAGAAGAGATGAGACTTCTTGAAAAAAGTAATCTGACTACGTAACTCGTGTTACTTGCATCACCCCAAACACGGCCATAACCCTCATAGAAAAGTTATAACAGCATTTTTAGACTATTACGTACTTTTGTTTACATTCATGCATTTGGCAGATGGTTTTATCCAAAGACTCTTGCATTATATTCAAAGTATTCATTTTTATGATTTCATGCATTTTCTGGGAATCAAACCCACAATCCTGGCGTTCTTATCGTGCCATGACTCACTGTTTGAGCTACAGGAATATATTATGAAAATGTCCTGCACTCAAATGGAGGTTTTTATTTATCTATTTTTTTATGTATTTTTAATTTGTTTTTTTTATATATATTTTTAATTTAGCTATTTTTAATGTGTCCTGTAGAGGGAAACACAGACACTCACACTCTCTCTCTCTCTCTCTCTCTCACACACACACTCTCTCTCTCTCTCTCTCTCTCTCTCTCTCTCTCTCTCTCTCTCA